AATATGTTGTGCTTTCATGTTTATTCATCTCTAATTATTTTCTAATTTCTCTCGTGATTTCTCCTTTGACCCATTGGCTATTTAATAGTATGTTGTTTAATTTCTACATATTTGTGAATTTTCCAGTTTCTTCCTGTTATTGACTTCTACTTTCATCCCATTGTTACCAGAGAAAACATTCTGTATGATTTCAGTCTTTTAAAATTTATTGTGACCTAACATATGTTCTTTCCTAAAGAATGATCCGTATGCACTGCAGAACAGTGTGCATTCTATTCTTGAGTGGAGGGTTCTATATATGTCTGTAAGTCTAGTTAGTTTATAGTTTTGTTTAAATCCTCTGTTTCTTTATTGATCTTCAGTCTGCGTGTTCCATCCACTATTGAAAGTGGTGATTGAAGTCTCCAACTATTATTTTAGAACTGTTTCTCTCTCAAATTCTGTCAGTGTTTGTGTCATATATTTTGGGGTTCTGTTGTTAAGTGCATATATATAAAATTATTATGTCTTCTAGATGAATTGACCCTTTTATCATTGTATAATGTCTTTTTCTCTTATAGTAGTTTTTGACTTCAAGTGTACTTTATCTGATTAATTTACCTACCCCACGTCTCTTTGGGTTACTGTTGCATGTCTTTCATCAAATATGGCATATTTGGGACCATTATTTTTTCAAATATTCTTTGCGCCTCTTTCTCTTTTCTTCTGGGGCTCCCATAATGCATATTTTGGTCCACTTGATGGCATCCCACAAGTTCCTTAGGCTCATTTCACTTTTTTTCTTTTGTTCCTCAGACTCAAAAATTTCACTTCCGTCCTATCTTCAAATTGGCCAACTCTTCATCCGGGTCAGATTAACACCTCTGGTGAATTTTTCATTTCAGTTAGTTTATTTTTCAGCTTTAGGGTTTCTCTTTGGTTCCCTTTTTAAATTTCTCTCTCTTTATTGATATTCTCATTTTGTTCGTGCATCGTTTTTCTGATTTACTTTAATTCTTTGTCTATGTTTTCCTTTAGCTCTTTGAGCATATTTAATACAGTTGTTTTAAAGTCTTTGTCTAATAAGTCCATTGTCTGGACTTCCTCATGCATGGTGTCTGTCACTTTATTTTATTCTTTTAAATGAGTCATCCTTTCCTGTTCCTTTGTGTGTCTTGTGATTTTTTTTGCTGAAAACTGGACATTTGAATATTATAATGTGTTAACTCTGGAAATCAGATTCCTCCTGTCCCCTTCCCTGGGGTTTGCTGTTTCTTTGATTGTTGAAGGCATTTGTTTAGTGACTTTCCCTGACTATTTTGCAAAGACTGCCCTCCTGGTTGTTTGTTGTCACTGAGGTATCTGTTTCTTAGCTTGTACTCACCTAGTATTTTGACAGAGATTTCCTTGAATGTCAGGGATGAACGGAAAAGAAAACCACCTTCCCCACTCTTTGCACTTTGGTTCTGTTCTTGGACACTCCTTCACTGATAAGCTAGGCTTGTACTGGGTCTAGAGATTAGGCTGAGATAAAAGTACAGGATCTTCTAAGGTATTTTCTGAGTTTGTATCTTGCCCTGAGCTTGCATGTGACTTTCTAAATTCCCCCTTATATATGCAGGTGCTTTTGAATGCCTTAATTTCCCAAAGAACTCACCCTGGTTTTTCCTCCCAGTCCTTAGATGTTTATTGTACGCCTCAATCATACTCTTTATCCCAAAGCAGCTATAGGTGGGTACAGTGTTCAGGCATTGCCTGCCACTTTTCTGCCCTGCATGATTTCTGAGCTAGGCCAGAGACAAGCTTTTGTGTCAGCCTTTCAGATAGCCCTCAGACAGGTTAGAACAAACACACACTATAATTTTTGAATAAGGTTCTGCTCCCTCCAGATCTAGGGACCAGGGTTCCTGTTTTAAGACTCTGCTCTTAAGGTTGCTGCTGAGCCAGACCATGAGGTACAGACTGGCAGAAAAACCAAAGCTTTCCTACTGTTTTGAAGTTACTTTTCCCTTGATTCAGTATTCACATAGTTGCTGTAAACCTTGGACTGATTTTTTGGCCTTTTTTTTTTTGGTGCATCTGTAGGGGACAGGAGCACACAACTGCTTACACTACCATCTTCCTAACATCACTGATTATGATTTTAATGCTTAAAGATAAGTTTTTTTTTTTTTAGATAACATTCCATAAATATAAGTGAACTGATTGCTTCATCTGGTGGCATTCAGTTAAATAAACATTTGATTACTGTGTTGAAGGAGAAATTGATTGTGTTGAACTAAGTAAAAGATGATTTAATTTGTGTCAGAGGAGAACTCTGCTCCATGGGTTTTCATTGGCTGTGATCTTTTGGAAGCAGATCACCAGGCCTTTCTTCCAAGGCACCTCTGGGTGGGTTTGAACTGCTAACCTTTCATTTAGTAGTTGAATGCTTAACCATTTGCGCCATCTGGTAACTCCTAGACTCCTTTCTAAGAAATAAAAAAGTAATACTGATTATCACAATTTTTTCCTTAATGCGACAACTTTAGAATCTTAACTCCTAAGTAAGATGATCCTACTATACGGTAGTCCCCTACTTACAACAGGGTTCCGTTCCGATGACTCTGTCATAAATTGATTCTGACGTAAGTTGAATACCTGGTTTTTTTTTTTTAGTTTTCATTATTATTGCCTTTTTAAAAAAAAAAATCAGTATCTTTATAAATCTGATCTTTATCTTTGGGGGGTTGGAAACATTACATATAAACTTACAGATAATATTTTAATAAAATACATACATTAAAAAACATAAAAATTTACTCTGACGATGAAGAATAATTAGATGACGTTGGCATTTTGTCAGTTGCGGTAATAACTCCAGTTGTGGAAGGTTCTGGACCGTTTGGATTATCTCTGGGAATGGGGATGGCATTTCTAGTCAGAAAATTAGTGAGAGTATGGTCCTTTTATTCTTTGTATATTTCATGGTAACATCTCACTTTTTATCTAGTCTACTTACTGACTTCAGCAAAGTGATCAGTGTTTGAGTCCATACGTTCAAGCAACTGAAGCCCCTTATTTAGTTCAGAAAACTAAATCTATACAGCAGCGTTTTGAACAGTAAATCATAAAATTGACATATGAGAATAATAACATCAGCAAATTACGTGCTGCAACATTGTATGTAGTAGATATTACTAACAATAAGATGCACAAAATTAAAAAAAGGATGGTTAAGTGTGATTCATCATAACTCAAATGCATCATAAATTGAGGACTACCTGTATAGCTTTCAGGAATATCTTTAAAGTTGGCATCAGGTTATAAAACTGTTTTGAAGCCACTGTGGGGAACATTCCTATAAGGACTCTGAGTTTGATTCATTCATTCAGCATTCTACAGACATTTTCTGTATCTCGTATGCACTGTGCTCTTTGCTGAGGGAAGTGCTTTTGTTCAAGAAGCCATAGCACAGTTCACTTTATGGTAAATTCCTTATAAATTTTACAGATTTTATTTCATTTAAGTTCAGAGTAGGCAGTAATCACTTCTAGCTAGAATACTGAAAAGAGGTTTTCTCATCTGTAAAATGAAAAGAACTGGAGTGTGTTTCTAAAGTTCCTCCCTACTTTAACATTTTTTACCATAAAAAATAATACTTGAGTGGACTTTAAAGAATATGTAGGTATAAATATAGACAAGCTTACAAAAGGTTATATTTTAATATTGCTTACATCATTGTATCTAGATGCAAATTACATATGCAATATAAATGTATTTTATATATAGGGTACCCCTAGGTTTTTACATTTGTAGGTGATTTTAGTAAGTTCAAGTAATAGCTACTACAGTGAGGAAGCATAGATTATTCTAAATTTAGGTGAATTTAAAAATACAGCTAAGTGTTAGGCTTTGTTGGTTGATTGGTTGTTTTCTTATGTGTGTTGTGATATTGTGCGTGCTTAACCACGGGTTAGCTTAAATGTGTCCCCTTCTTCCAGACTTCTAAAGGATTTTTTATAAGTTTTTTTTTTTAAAACAAATCTTAAACAGTACTCATCTTCAACCTATTGTACCACCTTGTCTTTGTGGCTACTCAGACAGCAGCCTTCTTAACTATATAGCTTTAAGCTTGATACGGAAAAGAAGGAAGAAAAGAATTTTTAAAAATTACTTCACTTTGCAAAAATAGGGTTTTTTAAACTGCTTAGTTTAGATTTTGTCCAAAGTTTTAAATCCAGATCTTTTTCTTCAAAGTGGAATTTACTTTATGTCAAGGGTGACAAACTCAAAGGCCTACAGGCCCAGGCATGTAGCATAAACAAGTAAAGCATTCGGGACAAGAAACTAAGCTGTTAATACCTCTAGTAATAGAAGACAGGTATACCGTTACTCAGCTTTTGGTCAATTATTGCCAGTTGCCACATCTTCCCAGTTGTGGCCACATCTTCCAGGTTTTCCCAAGAGGTCTGAAATCTGTTTTTTTTTTTTTTAATGTAAGAATATCTCCAATTTTAACATTTAGCAACTCATTAAAAATTTGTAAACACTGTATGCCCTAATTTTGTTCAGATACAATGGAACATGTCTTAAGGGAGTCAGAAGATGGCCAGTGGTTTAACTGTCTAAAATGTTAAGATTAAAAAATACTTAATGGTTTAATAAATTATGGTGTGTCTGTATAGTAGACCATTATACAGCCATTGAATATTCAATAAAATCCCAGTCATATATATGCAAGAAACACAAATGGTTAGAAATAACACCAAGATGCCAACCTTAATTACATCCAAATTTTCAACAATGAGTAGATGTTACTTTTATAATCAGAAAAAGTTTTAAAAAAATACATTATGTTGAAAAAATCTTGCATTCTGTTCTACTTACCGTTAGTATGATTCTGTTAGCTTAAGGTAGTATATTATTTCTTTGTTTGCATCATTGTTTCCAATGTAGTTATTTTCTTTTTCTTTTTAGAGATGCTAACTTTGTTTTTCTCTGACTTTGTTTTTATTCTTCTATCTGATGACTTCCAAAAGAACAACTAAACCAACTCCTCATTTAGATGGGTAAATATTATTTTATTTATTTTAGAACCTACTTTAAATTCATATTAAAATGGGAAGCCTTTATTTAATTATTTTTACTTGATTCTGTTAGGCATCATGTTGTTTTTGGGCAAGTGATCTCTGGTCAAGAAGTTGTGAGAGAGATAGAAAACCAGAAAACAGATGCAGCTAGCAAACCATTTGCTGAGGTACGGATACTCAGTTGTGGAGAGCTAATTCCCAAGTCTAAAGGTAAGAAACAACACAGTACATATTTCTGAGAATTTTCATGCATACAAAGCAAGCAGAGCACCCTAAATAGTTGACATGATAGTCACACTAAAGCTAATGTAAATAGGAGGTTTACATGTTTTTAAACATATTTTTGTTGTTTTAAATGTCTTACCCTACTTGTTACTTTGTTCGTTTACCATAGAACTGCTTGACTTTTCCTTATTATTAATTTGCAGTAATTTGCCCTCTACTTCCGCTTTGTTTTTTCATTGTAATTATCTGAATAGTATGGCAAATACTCTTCTAGGGAAAGAGGCAGTGGGCGGAGGATGAAAATTGAAGAGAGAAAGATAGGCTAAGAAACTTTGAGGGAATAAATTATTTCTTCTTCATATATGGCTTAGATTCGGGAGCATTTGGCAAGTTTAAGAAACTTTTTTTGACTGAGTCCAGCACAACTAGATGGTGCCTGGCTACCACCACTGACTGCTCTGACAGGGATCACAATAGAGGGTTCTGGACAGAGCTAGAGAAAAATGTAGAACAAAATTCTAACTCACAAAAAGAGACCAGACTTACTGGCCTGACAGAGACTGGGGAAACCCTGAGAGTATGGCCCCCGGACAACATTTTATCTCAGTAATGAAGTCACTCCTGAGGTTCACCCTTCGTCCAAAGATTAGACAGGCTCATAAAACATAACGAGACTAAAGGAGCACACCAGCACAGGGGCAAGGACTAGAAGGCAGGAAGGGATGGGGAAACTGGTAATAGGGAACCTAAGGTCAAGAAGGGAGCATGTTGACGTGTTGTGGGGTTGTTAACTAATGTTATAAAACAATATGGTACTGTTTAATGAGAAGCTAGTTTGTTTTGTAAACTTTCATCTAAAGTACAATTTAAAAAAAGAAAAAGAAACAAAAGATTGCTTTAAACTTAAAAAAAAAACTTTTTTCACTTAGACCAGAAGCTAATATGACTAATAGTTTAATGTGATATTTGAAATGGTAACAATTTTAAGTAAATATTTTAAATCTTTATATTACCTATACTTTTATATAAAATAGATGACTGCTACCATTCGTTACAGATATTGGGTCTGACAATTTAAAAATAACGGGTTGAGATTACTTTCAAATCTGAATAGAAAGCAATAACATGTATTAAACTGATTCTTATTCTTTCAATTGCTACTAGTCCAGGTAATAATAATGTTGATATTTAGTTTGTTATGGCTAACAAATATGCATTATCTGTAATCTTTTCTGATGCTCACAATAACTTTGTAATATTATTTCCCCATTTTATAGATGAAGCTAGTGGAGATTAAGCTATTTACCACATCTGGGAGCTAGGCCTCATCTACTGGCTCCTGTATCTGGTGGCCCCAAATCTAAATCTTTTTTCATTATATGGCACTGACTCATTAAACTTTAAACATCTTCAACATTCCTTTCAGAATTGCACCAAGTAAAATATTCTGTTCTTACCTTTTAGGTAAACTTGATTTGCTCTGTACCATTTAGAAATACGCACATTTTGTTTTGTTTTAATTTAACAAGAACCATGATGGCATAGAGAAGGCAAAATGCTTATTTTTAATTTTCTGTTTCTGTATTCCACTTTGATCATTTCATTTTTTTCCACGTCATATCAAATAAGTACCTTGTAAACCATCTGCGGGTATATACTACAGCTCGCAATTGAAATGTTTGTATAACTTCTTGTTCATGAGTCTGACTATCTATCCTTATTTACAAATAAGAGGTATAATATGTGTCTTTTATTCTTGAAGATTCAGTAAAGAATCAGGTGGTGTTGAGTATCTGTGAGTAATGCTCTATAAATATATAATCATTTATATTTTTTAAAGAATTAAATTCTGAGAAGCAATCTATATTAATGTTTGCAAATTTTAGACCCTGGACCTACTGAAGTTTAAATTCTTCAGAGTGTTATCAGTACAACTGGAATGTTTTGACTTAGGACATTATTTCTCTCACATCCTCTAGTAAATCTTCTTTTATACTCTACTTGGCAACTTATTCCTCTCTTTTATTTTGTAGTCTTTTGAAGTCTCTTGTGTTAGGATCTGTTCTCTACTTAAGGATACTGTATTGCTTGTATATTCAGAAAGAGGTTGAGGAAATAAAAAAGCTTAAATTTTAAACCATAAACAGTTACCATAGATTCCCTAATCTAAAGATTCTTTCAGTACTAAAAAGGCAGTGTTTGAATATTTGCCTAAAGGATGAGAATGTGAAGGAATGTAGGTTTTTGTATATATTATTACTTACATCTTTGTGGTCAGTCAGCACCTGAAGAGATAAATGCTAATATTGCTCATGCCATTGTGGCCAAGAGGTTGTGCTAAAAGTTGTGCTGAAGGATGATGTAGTATCCTAGTATATGTTACTCAGACTCGTGCTAAGCTAACATACCTTAGTCTTATCAGTTTCAACAAGGTGGGGGAATTTTAGCCCTTATTAGCATCTGCCCGGGAGTCCCTAAAAAGGTCGGATTTGTTTTGAGCTAGACCTCCCATGCCTGTTATGTTCTGGATTACCCTATGGAGAGAGGATCTTTGTATTTGAGATTGCACATTTTGGTACTTGTTACCCCATAGTCCTTCAGTTACCACTCAGAACATTAGTCAGAATGGATTTTTTCATGCATTTATGTCATCTTGTTTTAGGCAGAGCTGTGTCTTATATCCAGTTTTATAAGTTTGATGGCCTCTTCAAAGAATTTTAAGTTGGGAACAGTCAAAAAAACTTTGTGCAGCACTGTGGTGTTCATCATCATGATATTTTAAAACCTTATTTTAGAGTTTTACACCTCAGTTTAAGAAGAAATAAATACAGAATCTTTTTTTTTCTTTTTTTAACTTCCTGAAAGAAAACAAAAAGACTTCTGAAGAAATCTGACTGTCTGGGCCCACCTGTGTATGGTCTTGGTGAGTCTGGGCAATCTTCTTGGGCCTTTCTCCTTTTGCTGTTGTGAGATTGGAGATTCTGCTATTTGTAGCTATTTGAGTGTGTCAGAGAAGGTTCAGGGTCAAGGAGAAGACCCTTCTAACAGACGTAAAAGTGAAACACCGGAGGCTAATTAAAAACTGGACGCCCTGTCGATGCTCAACAATGCGCTGTTCTTAGGGGCAGAGTAGAGGATAGAATACAGACCACCAGAAAATGAAACCACAACCTTGATTATGGTACTTCTGGTTTTTCAGGAGGTTAACATGACCTTAGGTCATTCCGGTTGTTAAAGAGGAGTCTGTCCATCTTGGCCATACAACAAGATGGGGGGCACTGCTGTTATAGAATATACAGGAACATGTACTGGGCTGTGATAACATGACAGTTAAATGGGAAGAATTTTTGCCTATCTGGTAGGAAACAAATTGCCCAGTAGAGAAAGCAGCTCGTGTATCTTATGCTCAAGAGATGAAGAAGAACACCAGACACTCCTTTTTGTGGTGACAGGGGCCATTTCAGTGTCCTTATTCTGGAAGTGAGACAGTCTGTACTAATGGCATTTTTACTGGGAAGTAGTGGATGTTAAACTTAGAAATTGTTTAGGAGACCAGTGATATAAAATGAAATTGCCTACAGGAGACCCATTTCAGGAATAGTGCTGTTATTTCAGACCTTATTTTGATTGGATCTAAAAATTTCCTTCAATATCAAGGTTTCAAGTGAGAGTCATTGCTATAAAATTTATAGATCTCAAAAATCAAGAAAGGCAACATTTTCTTATCTTAGGTTTTTACAAGTAAAATGTTATAATAGAGTTTTTTGTTTTTAATCTTAATATCTACTAGTAAATTCAATACTTCATTGACAGGATACCCCTCTACCCCTTAAAAAAAAAAGGTCAGTGAATAGGTTTGGGAAATTCTTTTATGTAGTGATAAGCAAATTACATAATCTAAAATAAACTAACCAGAAATGGCTCAAGAAGTGCAAGTGCTATCTTTGCAATGCCTTTTCATCTGTTATGAGTCTTAACTTGCATTATGATTTTTGCTTTTCAGTACTGTTCCATTGTACCGTAAGGGTACTTACATGCTTGTAAAAGATACTTTAAAATGGGTTTTGTGTAAGTGGTTAGGCAAGAAGTAGGTTTTTAAAAACGTCTTCAATTTTTAATTTAATACATTCATTTGGTTCAAAATTTAGGAAACATAAAAAGGACCCATACCTGTTGCCATCAAGTTGATTCTGGCTCATAGCAACTTTATAGGACAGAGTAGAACTGCCCTATAGGATTTCCAAGGAGCAGCTGGTGGACGAACTACTGACCTTTTGGTTAACAGCTGAGCTCTTAACCACTGCGCCACCAGGGCTCCATAAAAAGAACAGTCAGTGAAAAGCTCCTTTCCATCTCTGCCTCTCAATTCCCATCTACACAAGACAACAACTACTATTGATTTCTTGTGTATCATTCTTTTATATGACTAGAAACCATTTCATTTGTGTATATGTACTAATATTTATGTAATTGGTTCTCTATTAGTGGGCATTATGTTGCTTTCAATATTACAAATAGTGAAATGAGTGATTTTATAGATCATTCTATATGTTTGTGAATGTTTATCATGTAGGATAAATTCCTGGAAGTGGAATTCCTAGATTACAGGAGTCACGCATTTGTTCTACAGGTCTCTGAAGCTCTGCTCATTTTTTGTTCAGTGTATATTCTGATACTCAGATTGTATAATTTCTATTGATCTGTCTTCAAGTTCACTGACTCTTTCCTCTGTCATCACCATTCTGCTATTATATACATCCAATGAGTTTTTATTTCAGTTACTGTTTTTTCAGTTCTAAATTTCCATTTGGTTCTTCTTTATGTCTTCTATTTTTGTGCTGAGATTTCAGTTTTTTCATTTGTTTCAGGAATGTTCATAATTGCTCTTTGAAGTATATTTATGGTGGTTTCTTTAAATTTTTTGTCAGTTAATTTCCAATGTCTGAGTCCTCTTGGTGTTGGCATCTTTTGATTGTCTTTTCTCA